TTTGGATTTGTAGCCTTTCAATTATTTAAGAATTCAATGACTTAGCCATCAGTGCAGTTGAGCATTAAGAACTTGATAACTCTTGTTTGATGTACTAAAAAATAAAATAAAATAAAGTAAATTCACTGACTTGTGGGACTATTGATTTATGGTTATACATCTACATTAGTTAGTGGTTTAATTACCTTTAGGCTTATGACTTGAGAAATTTCTCAAGTGCGAGCCTTTAAGAACCATGTCCTCCCTGTTAACCCGCTTATAATAGTTTCACTTGAAAGTTTCAGATTTTGACACAAAATGTGCAAAATTCTGTTTAGTTTGGTTTTAAAGTATCTTTTCTGATTTCTTTTTTTTGGGAAAAAAAAAATATAAACTAGTTTGATGATTCTTCTCAAGTTCAAAGCTTTGACCTCCTTGAAAGTTTTGATCCAAGAGCTTTGAGATTTGATCTCTTACGCTGTGTTTGGTTGGGGGATTTGGGAAGGGAAATGGAAAGGGAAATGGATTGAAAGTTTTGATCCAAGAGCTTTGAGATTTGATCTCTTAGGATATATGTTAAAAAAAAAAAAAATTTAAAAAAAATCTACTTTATGCATGGAAATAAGCATAATAAAAAATTGTATATATATATATTTTTAAATTTACTGATCAATGATAAGCATAGTATTATTGGCATTAAAATAGCGAACTCGATGATGGTGATATATGGAGCAAATAACTGGCAAGAGTAATGTCCACTTTATGTCAATTTTTGTGTTTGTGAATTATTATTATTTTTTAATAAGCATATCAACTCAACCACCACATGCTCTTGTTTTTTCTCTCCAAAATTAGAAAATTCTCTATACATCTGTAACTCTTAAAATTTAAAATTTAACACACAAAAAAGTTATTAATAATGACACAACTTATTTGCACCTTAGAGCATCTCCAACGGTGTACCAAATGTTTCACCAAATCTGAGTCAAAAATGGATCATTTCTTTAATTTGATACTTCGCGCTCCAACGGTTCAACATCAAATCCGTTTCATCAAATTTGAAATGCTTCGCCTGCACTCAGTTTGGTACCATTTTTGCTGAATTCTGGATTTGATATCGATTTGGTGAAAACGTTGGAGCTTAAAAAAATGACTTTTTCACCAAATTTTAAATTTGATGCCAGGTTTGGTTCACCGTTGGAGATGGTCTTAGAAAACATATCAAACTCAATTTTACAAAGTTGAAATTTTCACTTTATTTTCATCTTTTTGAACTGAAAACCGGATTAAGTTGAAAATATTTGGCAAACATTTTTAAATACAACACAAGTATAAAATTTAAAATTGTAAGCTAAATATACGGCAAATAAGCGGTTGCGAAATAGTTTTCAAATAGGAACTCTCTCTCTCGAGCTATCTTCACGATGAACAAAATCTCTTCTTTTATCTCTTTTGTTACAAAAGGTTCATTTGGGATGTGGATTATTAGCTTTTTAATTTTTTTTTTGACTATTTTGATAAAAAGTTGAAAAATTATAAAAAATTCACAAATTAAAAATATAAAAAAAATTAATTTATTGATGCAAATTACAAGTCATAAGTTGTGACACGGTGATGGGTCTGTCCCAGTACAAATTACACACGGGTGCACAACAAATTTACACAGGACAGTGTTGTTCAGTTCGTAGGGGCCTATCACGGGTCTCATTTTAATAATCTAAACTGTAGAACTCATCGAGTACTATATGTTTGTTAAAAATCACGTTGATCGGATATCGCTAACTACATTATCAAATTAGTTTTGTATAAAAAATATATGGTATTATAGTTAACGGTTGAAAAAAAACTAATCCAATTAGATAGCTATCGATATTCGATCAACGTGATTTTTTATAGATATAGTACTTGATGAGTTCTACACATTGAACGGTTCAGATTATCAAAATGGGACCCGTGATGGCCCCCACAGGCCGTATAGCACCATCCAATGCAATGCCTAAAAAGTAGGCAAGTATTTCTTAGCATCAATTCAGCATGCGTATACGGTACGGCTGTACAACTCACAATTCTTATCTTCTCCTACACACTAATTTATATAATTTTTTAATACACATTTTTTCATAAAAAATCAAAAAGTTAACCCAAACAATCATATTTTTTTCTTAAACTTTTTAGTCCAAAAAGTGCACTTATTTACGACACCCTAAACAACCCCTAATCTAAGGTTAAAAAACCTGGTTTAGGATAAACTTTTTGACTTTTTTAACTTTTGTAAAAAAAAAAATGAAATGATTATAATTTAGATGTGATATTTTATCTTATTAATTTTTTAATTTATTTTAATTTTTTTGGGATTAAAATATTCGAAAGGTCAAATTTTTTGGCATGCCAAACGAAAGCAAACTATCTTTCTGTCGCATGATGAAATCCAAAGAGGTTTTTCACATGGTAGACAGGTAATTTATGAGAAAAGACAGAGGAGGATGACAACAAAAAATCTCACAACTCTATAATTGAGATTAGCTTTAGATTTACACGAAGTTGTTTAAGTTGGCCATTGCACCATGTTCCCTTCCAACCAATTGGTCTCAAATCAAGCATCACCTTCTCCCTTAAAGTGATTTATAGGGATTGGCTATGATAATTATGATAATAATAATGTTTTATTTATGGGGACCACTTGATTTTGATTTGACGATTAATGATGGGGTAAACCTTATTATCTTAAATTAATGAGTATTTTCTTTTCCAAATAAAATTTTGTCTGTCTGTGTCATAAGTTAAAAATCATTTTCTCATGAAGAAAAAAAAAATTAATAATAATAATTAGTGGGTCTTTTTCATAACAAAGATGCTATTAAAGAATTAATGTTCCTCCCAGTCCTTGATTTATGAAGTCTTAGCTGGAAAATACTGACAATAACATGGGATACTCCAAAACAAATTGATTAAAGTTGTTTTTTTAGCATGAGGGTAATGCTTCACATTTTCATGGGATTATGGTTGAATATAGCTTTCGAACGGTTCTTGACTTCAATTTTTTTTATAACCGAAAATTGATCGTAGAGAGAACCAGTGATGATATACAAATAAAAAATATATACATAAAATTTATGCAGGATGATGTAGGCCTATGACTTTGAAAGAGAAGTCTATTAAGATTCATTTTAATTATAAAAATGTTACTATCATCTCATTATAATAATAATAATAATAATAATAATAATAATAAATATGTATAAAAGTATAATAATAGTGTGTTTGGTTTCAGTTTTCTGAAAATTAAATTTTTTATTTTTCGTGTTTTTTTATTTTTAGTGAATATTTTTAAAATTTTAAGTAATTTTTTTATTTTTTTAGGTGCACCTCACTTAGATGTATCTAAATAGTAAAATATTTGTAAAAAAATATTTTAAAAATTAATAAACACACAAAAATACAAAAAAAAAATGTATTGAATTTTCGTATTTTTTAAATATTTTTTGGTATTTAATGTATTTTTTAAAGATTTTTTCACAAATACTATACTTTTTAAGTGTATTTATGTTTGGTGTGTCTAAAAATTTAAAAAAAAAAATCTGCTTAAAATATTAAAAAATTTCATTGAAAACATTAGAATACGAAAAATAAAAAAGTAAAATTTTCTAAAAATTGTTTTCTAGAAACTGGAACCAAAAACAAGCTGAATTTTCAAATGAAATTGCTTTGATTATAAATTCAAGTTTCACGACCCTCATTTGGCCAGCTAGGAAGACAACTGGGTTAAGAATTACTACACCTTATTAGGTGCAAGTATTATACTTTTTAGTTACATATATTATGATTTCCATAGATTATAATCCTTACATGTATACTGAACCAACTTTTTAGTTACTGAACAGCAATGTTATATATTTAAAAAAAAGTACTTAGAATTTAAAATGTATGAATTAAATTTATTCAGTGTGACTCTTACAAGTCCAAAATACAAATTGAAATTATGAATAGTCTTTTTGTTTACTCAAAATTTAAAAGGCTTTAGGATTCAACTTTCTTGTTTTACAACTTTCTATTTTCATTTAGGACTTGACAAAGTTATATGATTTCATCAATTGGTTTTGATGGAAATGAAGAGGGGACCATAAGCTCCTCCTCCTCTGTAATGACCTTAACATACCCTTTTTCGCTCAGCTTAACATACATGGCAAGAAAGTAGGGCAACACAGACAGGTTCTCTTAATGAGTAGTTGAGAGAGATGGAAAAAAATTGCACTATATGCATTAATTACTTGTACAGTTGTCAGCCAGAATGATACCCAACTTTTTGCCCCCTACTCGGCACGGCATACTTTATCAGTAGTGCGAGGAACACAGAAAGTTCCGAACACAAAATATACAGATGTGAAACAAAATATGTTTGCATTCGGATCTACAGATGCAAACATATGTGTCACTAACTCACATATGTGCATTATGTATTTAAAATTTTATGTATTCCTAGGCTTTTCTCACACTTATTCGTCAAAAATCCTTGGAACAAAATCGTATCTCGAAAGTTTTGCATATCATATTTTTGGATATGGAAACACTTTGAATACAGAAAATTCTCAACCTTTAAAAATCATTGAGAAGCTAAGACACCAAAGCATACTGCTAATTTTACATATATTACTGATTGTACAATTCACATGTTACAGCATTGCAGATTACTAATAATAATACACAAGTTCAATTATGGAGTCTGCTCCCAAGCCCTAGATAGCATTTATGTCTATCATTTAGAACCCATACCAACCAAAAGCAGAAGAGTTCCCCGCAATTATACTTTCTTGACAAGATTTGCATTTGCCATCACAATTTGGAGCCACATCTAGGAGGGACATTATAGTAATATTAACACTAGCATTTCACACTGCTGATTATGTAACTAAGGTTCTGTTTTTCTGTAAAACACTTATTTTTATTAGGTTATGTCTCCAGATTCTCACATAATTTAGTTATTATAAGCATTTTGCGACAATAAATTTGAAAATTCATCTTTGATCCGACCCAATAGAATAGTGCAATAGATACTGTATTAATATTTTAGTACTACAAGAAAGGAAGAGAGAACTGTAGCCTATAAACTTACATGAAATTTTACATTAAAGGGGAAGCTAAGGTTTCTATCTGTTGCCTCCTATCTACACAAAATCTAATCATAGAATTAGACACAGCTCTATCACTTAGGCTTTGTACAATCATATGTGAGAGAGTTATGTTCAATTCTATGATCAGATTATGAACGCTTAGCATTTTTGATATAGTCTATAGGGCTATTTTTAGGACTTAACCAAACAAGGAAGGAACTCCATCTAGAGGTGAAGGCATCGGACAATTCCAATTCAACAGCTCTTCAATCATCTGCATTGCAACTCTATTCTCTTCATCCATCTCCTCTCCAACCTCCATCCCAGATGTCACCGACAACGACGATGACGTCGATGATGAAAACGACAACGACGATGACGATCCATCGCTTTCTGTGTTCTTCGTCTTGCCTAGTTGGACTCTCATGACCCAGTTGGAGCCAGACCTCGTCCCGGCGTGCTTTTGCCAGACTCCGATATGAGAATTGTCTGTGTCGAGCCTCAAGCAAGTGAGGGAAGGTGATGGGTCCTTACAGCATTTTCGAAGCTTTGCGCTGAGAATGCTTGACATGGTTGATGGTGATATTGGGTTGCCTTGGCCAGACTGTGTGTTGTTGTCGACACCACCTTCCCGGTTTGTGGATGGTGGGAAATTTGTCTTTGCATTTTGTCCATTCATCAGGATGGCTGCTTGGTCGTATGCCCTCGCAGCCGCCTCAGCTGTCTCGAATGTGCCAAGCCAGATCCTCCTTTTCCTACACAAGAGATAGGGAAGCGACGATCAAAATGAAAAAAAAAAAACAAGAGATGTACATATTTTGGATTTTCTAGCCATTATTCATCAATATATCGGCTGATACTGTTTAATATCAACCTATATGACTGTATGGTTGATACCGACGCGGAATCTAATACTGTTATTTAAAATTCCTATTTTCAATGTTTGGGTGGAAGAGACATAAATGTATGGAAATATAATTATAGTAAAAATGTGAGGGTATATAGACAGATGAGATTGAGATGTTAGTATTGAAAGCAAAGTTTCAAAGTGTTATTATAAAATGAATTGGTATGGCTTGTGTGCGCGGTCATCAAATTTTAATATTATTTGTCAGAAAAATAACCTTTCAGTAGTCAAAATGATAATATTGGTAGTTTTCTTGTGAATTTTTAAAAATCATTTCAAAGGAGAATCAAGTGACAGTAGCTATCTTCAAATTTTAAAAATCACCAACTGAAAAAAAATTAGTTTTGTCGGTTGTGAATCAGCTATGAATGATACGTAGGGTGTAATTTTTTCTTCTAATCATTATTGGGTAGAGATTTAAAACCATAATGTGCATTGTGAATGTGTATTTGGAAGTGAAGCTATATATGTAATTATAGAATGTGCATTGTGTCTAAAAATATGTATATGTTTAAAATTTTCGTAACAGAACATAACATAAGAATAAGAATAAGAATAATGATGGAATATAAAGAAAGAAAGAAAGAAAATATAAATGGGGTTTGCAAAATGCAATGTACGGAGAGATTGGATTGAAATTAAAACTTACAGTAAAGGGTGGCGAATTTCAGATACCCAGGAACCCCACTGGCGTTGCCTGACACCTCTGAACTTCTTTGATTGTACCATGTTCTTCTCTTTTTAGAGAAAGAGAAAGAAAAAGAAAGAGAGAGATTCAGAGAGTGTTGCAGAGAGTGGATGAAGTACTTAGTTACATGGATGGATGCGAGTGAGAGAGAGAGAGAGATATGAATGAAGATGAGAGAGAAGACAGAGGATGTTAATATGTTCGCTGGTGTCGGTGGAGTGGAAAGGAGAGAGGCCGAAAGTCTAAAATAAATGACGTTTCTGTTTTTGGGTTTTTGGGGGTGAGCATGGATTCCTCCTTGCATTATTTTCTATTTGTAAGGTTATTGGACTTATTTTTAGGCTTAATTTTAATAATTTTAATTATTTATATTTTAAGATTTATTTAGTATATTATATTTGTAAAAATTTAAATTGATCGGGTATAAAAAAGTATGTGTTTAGAAAAATTAAACTAAAAATTATTTTTTAAAAAAATTTAATAAACAGTTTTCCGAATACATACTTCCTGATATCCGATCAATTTGATTTTTTACATGTATGATATACTGAACAAATCTTAAAATATAAACAGTTCAAATTATCAAAATTAGGCCTAAAAGTGAGTTTAAATAAAAAAATGTAAGGAAGAAGTGCAAGGAGGGAATCTTGACTCCGTTGGGGTTGGGGTTGGGGTTGGAGTTGGGGTTGGTTGGGGGAGCAAAAAAAATATGTGTTTAGAAAAATCAAACTAAAAATTATTTTTAAAAAAAATTTAATAAACATTTTTCCGAACACATACTTCCTCATATCCGATCAACTTGGTTTTTTACATGTATGATATACTGAACAAATCTTAAAATATGAACAGTTCGAATTATCAAAATTGGATCTAAAAGTGAGTTTAAATAAAAAAATGTAAGGAAGAAGTGCAAGGAGGGAATCTTGACTCCATTGGGGTTGGGGTTGGGGTTGGGGTTGGTTGGGGGAGCAATAAAAGTTTTCACCAAACTATGATTTTGTTTGGAAATAATTTTTTCAGTTTTTTTTTTTTTTTTTGTTATTTTAGTTTATCTTAAAAAGTTTTGTTTGAGATAAATTTTTAATTTTTTTATACTTTTGTGAGAAAAAAAATACAATCATAAATTGAATATAACATTTTATCTTATTAATTTTTTAACTTATTTCATCTTTTAATAGGCTAATTTAGAGAGTATTTGAGATAATTTAAATAAATATTTTTTTTAATTTTTTACAAAATAATATACAAAAAAAAATGTGACTCAAATTTTTTTTTTTTTAAATATTAAAATAAAAAATGCCAAATAATGTCTTAATTTCAACCCAACCATCTTTCCAAATGGTGTTCCTAGCAACTTCGGCTAATTGTAGTAAATGAGTGAAATGACTTTTAGCCTTAGGAAGGACACTTTTTGGAGTCTCCCTTGTCAAAGAGTAGTAAATGAATGAAATGACTTTTAGCCTTAGGGTCCTTTAGGGGTCTACCCCGTTTTGACAAAGGAAAATATTTCTCTGCCTCCGTTTGGGAAGTGGGTTGGTTTTTTGGTTTTTTGGCTTTTTGGCTTTTTGGCTTTTTAGTTTTTTGGCTATTTTAGCCTGGGCTATTTTAGCCTGGTTTGGGAAGGGCTTTTTGACTTTTTGGCTTTTTTGACTTTTTTTGTGAGAAAGGATTGTAATGATTATGAGTTGGATTTGATGTTTTATTTTTTGTGACTAAAATAACCTATTTTATTTTTTGTGACTATTTTAACCAAAAAAATCTGGACTTTTTCTTGCCAAACGGAGGCTCTATCTCCTAAAAAAAATACCTCATAAAATTCTTTTTGTGGTTCCAATATTCGATAGAGAGGTCATTATCTAGGCTATTATTATATTAATTAATTTAGATAGTTATCGTTTTGAGACGTATATGGGTCACTCATTATTATGTGAGTAACTTCGTGTGTATTATAAAAGGATTTGATTAATGAATGTTCTAAATGTATTGATTATTAATATTTAAATTAATCATACATCATTTGTTGTACACACTTTCGTATTATTTTAAGTTTCTTAAAGATATTTGTTAGCAAAATCATTTTATAAAATTTTATAAGTTGATCATTTTTTATACACAAAAGATAAGTTATACACGCCAATATATTTACAAAAATCATATCTGACTCAAAATTTAACTTTTTATATGATTCCATTGCTCTTGTGTGCCGTCCAAGTTCCAAACTTCAAACCATCTCACCGTTGACATTATTGGTCGTTGCCGTCCAACATTTAAGATCCGATGAAGAAAAAATGAAGACAAATAATAGTGCACTATAGATGATGGTGTTGCTGTTAGGGAAATTCAGGATTTTCTACAAATAAATCAATTAATAGGAATAAAAATAAATATAAAAAAATTAAATCAAAAGAAACACAAGAATTTTACGTGATTCTCTTAATGTGAGGTACGTCTACGGGATCGAAGTCCGATTTCACTATCAATCAAAAAGTTTCTAAACGATTACAAACGAGACACGAATGGTCTCACAAAATCACCCTTAGGTAAATTCCAAATAATCACAAATAAACAAGAGAAAAGATCTCACCAAATAGATGAACAAAATCTTCAAAATCAGAGTTGTAGAAATCTAAAATAACAACCCAAATCAGCCGAAACAGAGCAACTAGCCGAAGATGCACACCTTAACCAATTAACCCACTAAATTGGTTTCTCCACAGGCACTATTTCACCAAAAAAATATGAATTAACTTGCTGCCACTCCTTTTTTTCGAATTGATTACCCAAGTCCTATTTTTCCAAAATCAATTAGCTACTGTTGTTGCTATATATGCCGAGAAAGACAAAACAATATTTATATATTGTTAATTCTACGGTTTGTTTTATCAAAACCCTAATGACTCATCACGCCAACGGCGTAAGCAATATTCGGCCTTGTACAAACCATGGCGTACATCAAAGAATCAATTGTTGAAGCATAAGGAACTTTCAACATTTCTTCTTTGTCTTTCTCACTTGTAGGATATTGATTCGAACTAAGTTTGAAGTGACCCGCAAGTGGACAACCAACCGGCTTTGCTTTATTCATGTTGAACCTCTCAAGAACTTTCTCAATGTAGCTTTCTTAAGACAACCAAATCAGCCCCTCTTTGCGATCACAAACAATTTTCATACCAAGTATTTGCTTTGCCGGTCCCAAATCTTTCATAGCAAAAGACTTGCTCAACTCCAATTTCAACCTGTTTATCATGGTAGAATCTTGACCCACAATTAACATGTCATCAACATAAAGCAAAAGAATAATAAATTTACCATCCGAAATTTTTTTCACAAACACACAATGGTCCGAAGTGGTTTTAAAAAAACTATTATTCATCATGAAAAATTCAAATTTTTTGTACCATTGCCGCGGGGCTTGCTTGAGGTCATACAAACTTTTCTTCAATTTGCAAACAAATTTCTCTTTCTCTTTTTTCACAAAATTTTCTGGTTGCCACATGTAAATCTCTTTTTCAAGATCACCATGAAGAAATGCGGTCTTCACATCAAATTATTCAACTTCAAGGTTCATACTTGCAGCCATGCCAAGTACAACTCGAATAAAAAACATCTTCACAACCGGTGAGAAAATCTCATCAAAGTCAATACCTTTCTTTTGCCCAAAGCCTTTCACAACAAGACGTGTCTTATACCTCAGATCCTTGCCATCATTCTTCAATTTGAAGACCCACTTATTTTTCAAAATTTTCCTCCCCTTAGGCAATTTCACTAAATATGTAACGTCTTCAAAATAATATGTATAAACCAACCATTCAAGACATCCATAGACATAAAAGAATAAAACATATATCCATTCATCAGAGTATTTAGTTCAAAAGTATTACATGTTGACAACAAAAGTAAATCCCCTACGGGCTTACAACTTTCCAAGCCAACACTTGGTTACACAAATAGAGAGTTCTAACTCTAAACACATTAAGCCCTTAGCTTGAATTTACATGTAACACCAAAAATAACAAAACGACCAAAAGAGTCTTCAACTCCCAAAACCTTCCAAGCTAAGACCTTGGAGGCTGCATATCACTTGTACCTGAAAGTGATGTCCCATATAGGGTGAGCCAACGCCCAGTAGAGATGTGCTAAACATAATATGAACGATAACTAAAATATTAGCTTTTGACAAATGTTCAACTCATATAAACAAACGTACATCTCTTTCATAATCAATCCATATTCACAGATATACATACATATATATATATATATACATCAATTCTTTTCCGTTTTATTATCCAAACCAATTCATAGATATGGTTCTCTATTCATGCAGACAGTTTATAATGACTACAATTCATATTAACAATACTTCGATCATGATCAATTAGTATGAGGCTACAACTCACATCATTAACATTTCAATACTCCAATTTCAAATGAGACTACAACTCATATTAGTAACACTTCAATACTTCCATTCATCTACGTTATGCAAACGTAATCAAGATTTTGGGACTTTCACCCTGGACACTCCGGCCAACTTAGTTATCAATGAAGTCCATCCCCTATCTCCTCCCAAACAGGTTTGAGAGTATATCCCCTATCTCCTCTCAAACCATGGAGTACATCCCCTATCTCCTCCCAAACAAGATACATATGCAATATATTTAAACACTTATCATATACAATGATCAAGCAAGCACATATTCAATGTGTTATTCCAACCGTCATATTCAATGACATACTCAATTGATTAGTTTTAATTCACCTAATCATCATGCAGTGTCTACAACAATCAAGACTATCCTCCACCGATAGCCTAAAATAATTATTTCTAAACAGATCATGAATTCATCAAACAGATAAATTATCATCATTTTCATAGGCGAGTGATTAATCGATCCAACTACACCATTCCATCTCACAATTTCCCAATTTTATTATTTCCAAACCAATTTCACATTCCCATATACACATGTATAGTTCAAAAGGAACAAAATCTCTCTTTATACATTTCAAGTTTTGAAACCCTAACACCCAAAATTTTCCAACTTCAACATTAAATCAAAATGACCATATGTTTATGTCAAAGGCCATAAATATAAGTAGTTATCTCTACCTCAAATGAAGAGACCCAAAGGAGATGATGAAGAAACTCGAAAGTGCTCCAAACCCACAACTATTCCGATCAAAATGGAGGTCTTGAGAAGCTTCAACACTTTAATGAAGACAC